GGGATGGAATAGGGGGGATAAGGAGCTGGAGCTGGTGTGGGATAATGGGGATAAGGAATTGGGATGGGATAGTGGGGATAAGGAATTGGGATGGGATAGTGGGGATAAGGAATTGGGGTGGGATAATGGGGATGAGGAATTGGGGTGGGATAGTGGGGATAAGGAGCTGGAGCTGGTGTGGGATAATGGGGATAAGGAATTGGAGCCAGTGTGGGATAATGAACCAGAGTGGGATAACAAGCTGGAGTGGGGTAAGGAGCTGGAGTGGGAATTGGGATTGGAGTGGGATAAGGAGCTGGAGTGGGATAAGGAGCTGGAGTGGGGTAAGGAGCTGGAGTGGGAATTGGGATTGGAGTGGGATAAGGAGCTGGAGTGGGATAAGGAGCTGGAGTGGGATAAGGAGCTGGAATGGGATAAGGAACTGGAGTGGGATAAGGAGCTGGAGTGGGAATTGGGATTGGAGTGGGATAAGGAGCTGGAGTGGGATAAGGAACTGGAATGGGATAAGGAGCTGGAGTGGGATATGGAGCTGGAGTGGGATAAGGATCCCACTGATCCTGATCCCGCTGATCCTGATCCCGCTGATCCCGATCCCACTGATCCCAATCCCGCTGATCCCACTGATCCCACTGATCCCAATCCCTCTGATCCCAATCCCACTGATCCCACTGATCCCACTGATCCCTCTGATCCCAATCCCGATCCCACAGATCAAGGGCCTGGAGTGGCTCGTGTCCCTCTACAACAACAACCTCAACGGGATCCTGGCGGACGAGATGGGGCTGGGCAAGACCATCCAGACCATCGCCCTCATCACGTACCTCATGGAGCACAAACGCATCAACGGCCCCTTCCTCATCATCGTCCCGCTCTCGTGAGTCCAGGAATTCCCGGGAAAACCTCCCTGGGATGGGGTTTTACCCCCCCCGTGTCCCTCATTCCCGCCTTTCCCGTTGCTTCCCCCGCAGGACTTTGTCCAACTGGGCCTACGAGTTCGACAAGTGGGCTCCCTCCGTGGTCAAGGTCTCCTACAAGGTGGGTCCTCCGTGGTTTTCCCGGGGGAATTCCCGGGAAATCCGCTCCCTTTTCCTCTTCTCCTGCCCTGTCCCCGTTATCCCGAGGGAGCTTCCCGGCTCCCAACCTGACACATCCCAGAGGGTCATTCCCGCTGTCGCCCATCCTGGGATACACCCAGAGGGTCCTTCCCACTATTTTCCATCCTGGGATACACCCAGAGGGTCCTTCCTGCCCTTCCCTATCCTGGGATACACCCAGAGGGTCCTTCCTGCCCTTCCCCACCCTGGGATACACCCAGAGGGTCCTTCCTGCTGTCCCCCATCCTGGGATACACCCAGAGGGTCCTTCCTGCTGTCCCCCATCCTGGGATACACCCAGAGGGTCCTTCCTGTCCTTCCCCTCCCTGGGATACACCCAGAGGGTCCTTCCTGCCCTTCCCCATCCTGGGATACACCCAGGGGGTCCTTCCTGCCCTTCCCTATCCTGGGATACACCCAGAGGGTCCTTCCCACCCTTCCCCATCCTGGAATACACACCTGGAGTTTCATCCCCCCATGGAATGGTCGTTGGGTGGGGTTGAGGAGGTGGTCGGGTCGATCCCTCTGGGAATT